AGAAACCGTCGGCAGGTTTTCCGTTCCAGGTCGGGAAGGATTGTTTTTCAGGCGGAACACCAAGTCGATTGGCTGTTGCATATCGTTCTGACGCATCCTCTCACCAAACGTGAGGAACTGCTGGGCGAATGGGTTGTGTCTTTCCATCATCTGCTCAATGTCTAACAGAGCCACAGGATCCAGATCAGCGAAGATTCCCCTACGTCTCTCTGCACGGCGCTGCATATCTGGATCAACGATATAGATCTGCGCAAACTTGGGCTGCGTCCTCAGGCCAGTTCGACGATCAATGTATGGGAGCAACGAACCCAGGTAGTGGCCCATAGCGCCTTGAATCCGGTAGGTGTACACTCCACAGTCTCCCGCCACGCTGTTGTCTTGGTTAACTTGCTGATATTCTCCTGTCGACGGACTTGATGCACCGATAGACGTAAATGCAAAGACCTGGTTGTACGCCCGTACGTGCTTTCGAAACTCAGGGTCTCCATAAAGCTGAAGAAGTCTTGCTGGCGCTGGAGCCAGAGGTGGTAGTTTGACTTTCCCCTCGAGACAACAGCCCACCTTGATTTCACCAGGCCACTTCCACGCGTTGCAGTTGGCACACACCGTAGTAGGGGGAAGCCTGTGACGTCTGGTCTCTTCATTTACATCCGGACCCGTGACCATTGACGGGCGGAAGTCTTCGTGGTTCGCAAGAGCGTCGCGGTGGCGGGTGGTTCGACGGCGTTCACGAACGCGCTCGCGTTCTTCTTCACGTTCTTCCTCCGTTTGCAGCGCCCTTCTAACCGCTTGCCGCTCTCGGTCACGTTCTCGATGTACGTCGCGGCTCTCATCGGACTGCTGTTCCCTAGCATTGGTATGACGTTCTCGGTCGGCATCCCGCTCTACGTTACGTTCATCACCAGTCTGCTGGGAGCGACGGTGGGCTCGGGCTTCAGTGTCTCTTTCTCTTAAAGCCGCACGATCCGCCTATGTTTGCAGAGATCGTCTAGAGACCTGCTGTTCACGCTCATGCTCTCGGGTAACCTGGGTGTGCAGCGATCGCTGGGCCTGATGCGATAGGCGATTCCTTTCCCGATCAGATTCCACTTCCTCAGCTCTTCTTTGGGCCCTGCGTAACCGCTGTCTCTCCGCATTCCTCTGCCGAGTGCGCTCACGCTGGGAAGAACTCATGTTAGCT